TTAGAACATCTTCCCATGAGGCCTCGCCCCAAACCCCACCCCTTTTAATCATGGGGACGGTGAGTCTCTGCCTCTTGAGTCCGTCGTATGAGAACCTGGTCTTATCTGATATCCACTCCTCGTTCACCTCCTCGTTGAGACGTGGGAGGATCCTCATGACCTCACCAGTTCTGTGGTCAACGACAATGTTACTACCCACAGCATCAAGAACATCAATGGACTCTGTCTTCCTATGATATGTACAGGTTTTTAAAAATTCGTAAAAAATCTAAATTTGATTGGAATCAGCTCAAACTTTCTACACAACATAAGAACATGTATATGTATCAGGGAATGTTATAAAAATTGAGAATTCTCTACTTTTCATTTTTAGCAAAATTTGGCCCGAGACCATAGTACAGGGACTTTTACCCGATTTTGGAGTAACTTTAAAAAATTTTTTTAAATCCAATTTTGATCGGAATCAGTTCAAACTTTTTACACAGCGTAAGAACATGTATATGCATCAGAGAATGTCATAAAAATTGAGAATTCTCTACTTTTCATTTTTGGCAAAATTTGGCCAAAATCCCTGTACTATAGTACAGGGACTTTTACCCGATTTTGGAGTAAGTTTTAAAATTCATAAAAAATCCAATTTTGATCGGAATCAGTTCAAACTTTCTACACAGCATAAGAACATGTATATGTATCTGGGAATGTCATAAAAATTGAGAATTCTCTACTTTTCATTTTTGGCAAAATTTGGCCAAAATCCCTGTACTATAGTACAGGGACTTTTACCCAATTTTGGAGTAACTTTAAAAATTCGTAAAAAATCCAATTTTAATCGGAATCAGCTCAAACTTTCTACACAACATAAGAACATGTATATGTATCAGAGAATAATAAACTAGACTGATATAAGTACAGTCAGTCAGTCAGTCAGTCAGTACCTTAGTTCCCAGGGTCGAGCAGTGAAGGAGTATGGTTTTGAGGTGAGGGCTCCAACAGGACAAAGGTCAATAACGTTACCCGAGAGCTCAGAGCGGAAGAGTTTCTCAACATAAGTACCAATCTGCATGTCACCACCTCTTCCTGTAGTACCCAAATCAGACACACCCGCTACCTCATTACCAAACCTAACAATGGACGAGTGACACAGGACGATGGTGTACCATGGTACCTGACACAGCGAGTACAATGGATACAACGGGTCATAATGGTCTTCACCAGTGGACCAATGTTCTTATCCTCTACTGCCCTATTTAATATACTAATTAATTAATTAATTAATTAATTAATCAATTACCTTTTTCCGGCAAAGCTGTTATCAACAAAGCGACTTCTATCACTACCAAAAGCCATTGACTGATCCTGTAACACATGATGTAAGTAATGAAACTAGCACTGATTCTTAACACATAAGAACATCTACATATACATGTACATGTACATGTATATGTAGATGCATCAGAATACAATAATAAAAGTGTATACATGTAGATATAGCAATACCTGTAGGTCACACTCTCCTCCTCATGTACATGTACACTGTATATGTACATGTAGATGTACATATACAGTGTACATGCATATACATGTACATGTATCAGAATACAATAATGACAATACATGTATGTACATGTACATGTACCTGTAGGTCACACTCTCCTCCTTGATCACAAATCGGACAATCCAGTGGATGATTGACTAGAAGAAACTCCATCACACCTTCTCTGTAATAATGAGACAAATAAAATGAATAATAAATAAATATAAAATGCATTACCTAGCCCTCCTTGTTGCAGGTGAGTCTGTCCATATCTTCTGGTCCTTCATTATTGGCATCGCACAAGATGCTACAGGCTAAGAATGACATCACATTACATCATATTACATCACATGTATGTCATTCTCTTTACTTTTGCTGATTTCTCAACTTCAACGAGACACATCCGACAATTACCAGCCACTGATAACCTGTCGTGATAGCAGAACCTTGGGATCTCAACACCTGCCAACGCACACGCCTAGAAATATTAAAATACTATTATTATTAAAGTACATGCATACATGTATGTACATGCAACAAAATAATAATACTTATTATTAAATAATTAGTTGCAGCTAGCTATTGTGCTCCTTTCCCCTATTCTCCAGCTCTGCCTCACCTGCAGTACAGTAGTTTCAGGTTCACAATAAACTGGAATATCATTTACATAAACTCTGATCTTTTCAGGTGCTTGTGAGCTGGCTAGTCTCACTTGAGAAACAGCATGTCTTCCTACAATAGCAATACAAATTTTATTTAGTATTTTAGAGTACGTACCAGCTAAAGAAGACGGTCTAGCTAGCAAAGAAGATCTCCTTAGCAGCAAAGAAAGCATCGCCATTTTGTTTGTAGATCACGTGACTTGTTTATGGGCGTGCCCCAATTAGAATGGGCGCGGTTTAAATTAAAATGGCGTATTCCAACCCCAAATATTGCTGCCTTTTTGTTATACAATTACTTCTGTTAGGGATGGATCTCTGTCTTAATTCTCTATCTCTACTACTCTCCTCTTTCTCTCCAGTCATTCTATCAGTAGTATACGCCTTACAAGACTTCTTTCTCGTACTATCATTCATTCTAACGTTCCTAATATTCTTCAACACTTTTACATTCACCAGTGGGCTCATCACTATCCTCCTTAAGAAATTCTCATGGTCACTCTGCACCGGTGTAGCTTATCTCCTCGTTACGATAGCATACCAAATATGGTCGTTAAATAATCGTTGGAACAATCGCTGGGTGTGGTCAGCAGGACTCCAGTTTATGTATGTCCTTCATAAAATGGTCGCCTTGTTTTATTATTACATTTACAAGAGAGGTCTTTATCGTCTATCGGATCCTAAACTCTACCTCCCGAACTCGAATTGGGTCTCTGACAGGATTAGTACTCGTGTGACAGTTGCTGCCATCACATGAAAGTCACATGATAGGAGGACACTAGTACTGGGCATACATCACTTACTGTTTTATCATTTTTAATAATAAAATAATAATAATAAATATAAATCATTGTTCTCGAGGGTGTGGCTCATGAAATGTAAAGGTGTGGTTTCTATGAGAGGGGCCGGGGAATTACCTCAACTGCAGTGAAACTGCTGAAAACTGACATTAACTGCTGAAAGCTAAGCCTTGAGCTGCTGCAGTTTAAAGACAGAGGCAGGTTATTCTCTCTATCTTGTACCTTCAGATCAAGCCCTTCCCCTGTGCTGCATGATGGCTGAACCTTTACTTAAAGATCAAGATGATGAAAGTAAGCTGCTGTTTCTAAAAATAGTAACAATATGTTTATAATTGTAGATCTTGAATCATCTGGTTTCTTCATTGAAAGATCCACCGATTTATCAAAACTATCAGATAAAAGTGAGCAATGGAAATACATGTACATGTACAATATGTAAATGTATTGTTACGTAATGTACGTGTGAATTAGACTAATCTAGTGGGTGTGGTCATTTTATATACTGTGGGTGTGGTTTAGTAAAATGATTCACATAATTTAATTTTAATTTAGATAAAGGTGCCATGTCAACATTAAAACAGGTTCTAGCTAGTGAAGGAACTCGTTCAGACATTCACCTCCTAATGGTGGGCAAAACAGGCCAGGGGAAGTCAACCTTGATCAACAGCTTGATAGAATTAGGAGAAGAGATTGCGAAAGAAGGAGCCGAAACTGACATGTGTACAAGATCAACCCACTCTTATGTCCACCCGGAGCTGTTACCAGATGTCAAGGTGAGGATCGTCGATTCGCCTGGTCTACAAGATATCCATGTTAACGAGCAGCTCTATATTCAAGACATGAAGGTTCAGTGTCAGGAAGTCAGTTTAGTTCTGTACTGTATGAAGATGACCAACCACAGGCTGGCTTATGATGATACATTGGCTCTACGTAGGCTCCATCAAGCGTTTGGTCCTACCTTTTGGAAGAGAGTTGTATTTGTCCTCACTTTTGCTAACAATGAGAGGTGCGATCAGAAGGATAGTCGAGATGAAGACGGTCCAGAGCCTCCATTTACTGACCAGGATGCATGGGCGGAGTTAATAAGGAGGAGGTTTATTCACAGAGTGCGGCTGAGATCTGCTGACATCAACGCTTTCTTGAAACGGAATTGTGAAACAGATGAATATGCTCATTTCATACCAGCTGGCCATTATAAGCCAAATTTTTACAACCCCAACCCGTTGAAGTTACCTGATAGGGACAACTGGCTGCATAATTTGGTGAAATCCGTTCACTCGCAAATCAAAAAACACAACTTTAGCAGGCTGAACTTGAACGACAGTAAGTATTATTTATTCATTTATTTTATGTATTTATTTATTTATTTATTTTATTTTATAGAGGTTCATTTGGCCTTTATTGTTGATAATCATGGTGAAGTTAAAGTTGAAGAAGATGGGACTAAAACGATTAACGATGATGCTAAAGAGTTCATAAAAACCCTTGAAAACCTTGGGTTCTGTACCCTCTACTTCAACGCACTTAGTTCCCAATCCATCAGTACTTTACTTGAGATGCTTCTCCACATCAATGCCTCTCAACTGGCCACATTTGCTTTCGTTCTCCTTTCTAAAGGGAAGACTAGGCACCTTTACGATTGCAACAATGAAATAATATACACTGACAATATTTTTGAGTACTTCCATGACGATCAGTCTCACCTTGCTTTAGTACCAAAGATATTTTACTTCCATTTAGCTCACGTCAAAGAGCCGAGCGAGAAACTTCAGTTTTCGTCAGTTCCTCCTAAAAACTCTATCATACTCATAACATCAGTTGATCAGAACAGCAGTAGCGTAGTCCTCAAGACAGTTAGCAGTAAACTGACTCATGAGGCCAGCATACAGCAGTGTTGCTCTGAGATCCACGAAGAATGCAACAGGAAACATGACAAGGTTTTCTGTGTGTACATCGATAATTTTACTGACAAATTTGTCCTACCAGCACGCTATGTACCTTTCCACTCAAGGTTAGCTGCATGGACACTCTCTTCTCTTATTTAAAATATATCTACAAGTAATTTGCTTTTTTCTCCAAATTAAATTTTATGTTTTTAAAGTTTCTTATTTAATTTCTAGAGCAGAGAAAGAGTATTACAAGAAGCAGCTGGAGTTATACCGCTCAATGTGGTACCCCATACGCTGTAAGACCATCAGCGTCCTCTCAGATAACAAAGAAGCTGTACTCTCCATTGTCCGCCATGAGAGGATTGCTAGGATAGCAGCTTCCTCCGCTAGTATAGTCCTCGGGGGCGGTATGGTAGTCGCTGGTCTCGCTCTCCTCCCATTCACTTTTGGTGCGTCGATTGGTCTATCGGTTGCCGGGGGTGTGGTTGGAGCTACTGCCTCACTAGGAGGGATTGGAGCTTTTATTGCTTCAAAAATTCTATCAAATAAGAGACTCAAGTCGGCCCAGGAGCACATCAGCCTTGACCAGCAACTGAGCATCAGTATCAATGACGTTGCCGCTAAATATAATGAAGCCATGAAGAAATGTGCTGAGTCGGCTCTTGATGGAGGCGAATTGGTGGGAAATGTAGCAGCTGGTGGAGCCCAAAGTCTTGCTAGTCTGGGGCGGGTTGGTATGGGTATCGCTATTGGAATAGAGTCAGCTGCTGAGGCAGGAGCTATTGCTTTACGTACCGGAGCTCGTACACTGGGTGTGGTCCTGGCTGGGGCCTCGTTAGCAGTGACAGTTCCCATTGACCTAGGATTCATTGTGTATCATAGTTACCACATACACAAGTCCTCAAAAGACAAGACTGGGAAAGCTGATAGCAATAAGGTAGTTCAATGGCTCATTAAACAGACTGAGGACATGCTTAAAGGTAAGCTACATATGTTAGTAATAGGTTTTGGCGGGTTTTGAGCAGCTGCTATAAAGAAAGACTGTAGACAAACTTGTAATTAAAGCATTATGAACTA